CAATGCCTCAATGACTCTCATCTCTTTTCCACTGTGTGGATCATTCATGTCCTTCGTTGGATTTTCTATAATTTTTTTTGCTTTATTTATTTATTTATTTATTTTTGCTTTTTGGGTCACACCCGGCGATGCTCAGGGGTTCCTCCTGGCTCTGCACTCAGGAATGACTCCTGGCGGTGCTCGGGGGACCCTATGGGATGCTGGGACTTGAACCCGGGTTGGCAAATGCCCTACCCGCTGGGCTGTGGCTCCAGCTTCTGTAATTGTGGTGCCAAGGCCTTCGGTGCCCTTCGGCTGCTGTGCACTCCCCGCCCTGCTTTATCCTTGGGCTCGTTCGCTTTGGGGCCCACACCCAGCGGTGCTCGGGGCTTCCTCCTGGCTCTGCGCCCGGCAATCGTCCTGGCGGGGCTCCGGGAACTCAGTGTGGGCTAGGGGATTCAACCCAGTTGGCTGTACTCTGGGCACCAGTGCCCTCCCTGCTGGGCCCCCCTGCGGCCCGCCCAGTCCCGCTGGATGCTGTGGAGAGGGGGTTGCTACCTGGCGCGCTCTTGCGTGGCTTCCGTGGGCACTTGCCTGCCTGCAGCACCATGTCTTGTGTCCGTTAGTGGCATCCGGCATCCGGCGTTCCTGCAGCTTTGACTGTCTTTGAGTCTCCCTGGGGGGCCGGGGTTCTGCCTCTCTCGCACCCGCCCCTTCTGCTCCACGCGGCCGCCTTCCCGCTCCCCCCTTCCAGTTCTTTCCATCTGCAACATCTTGAGTCCGTCTCCTGCTGTGACATCCCGGAGGGCCTGTTGGGAAATCAGGGAAGCGGTTCCAGGGCCGGGCCATGCTCGGTGACGCTTTGACCCAAATCTTCATGTTACTCCGAGCGGGACTGGGAGGCCGCGGGGCTGGAGGCTGCTTGTTACATAAGCGTCTCCCCTCAAAAGCGGATCACCGCCAGGAGGGAGCACAGAGCCAGGAGGAGACCAGAGCGGTGCCGGGTGTCGCCCCCAAACCCCCACCCTCCCCCCCAAAAAAAGTATCATTTTGGGCAGCAAGATATGGCCCAGGGGGTGCTGGAGCGATAGCACAGCGAGTAGGGCGTTTGCCTTGCACGCGGCCGACCCGGGTTCGATACCCAGCATCCCATAGGGTCCCCTGAGCACCGCCAGGGCTGATTCCTGAGTGCAGAGCCAGGAGGAACCCCTGGGCATCGCTGGGTGTGACCCAGAAAAGATACGGTCCAGGGGTTCGACTGCGGCCAACCCTGGCTGACTCCTGGCCCCGTATACCAGCCCCTCGGTCCCCCCAGAATCTCTTGGTGAGGCAAGCCGCTGGGAGCCCGGCCACCCTGGCCTCTGCCAGCCCTGTGACCCACTCCTGGAGGAGGGGCCCTGGACTCGCCGGCGCTGCTTGTGAAACACACGTGCGCTCACACACGTGTACACACACGCACACGCATGCACACTCCCGAGTCAGATAAAAACATGTCATTTCCCCGCTCCAGGTTCTGCCTGGGTGGTGGGGAGCCCCCCTCCCCTGTGCATTTCTGCTTGCAGATCTCAGTGCCATCCCGGGGTTGGGGTGGGGCCCAGGACCTTAGGGTGCCCCAGCCGCATGCGGTCAGCAGGCAGAGAGACCTTCCTGGGTTGCCTGAGACTCTGCCATGCCAGAGAAAGCCCTTCCCCACCCACCCCCCGCACCACACTGGGAGCCCCCAAAGCGCCTGTCATAAGCACACCACCGGCACCCCCTCCGGTGGCAGACACAGAGAAGAAACTGGTCCCAGCCGGCTGACCCTGGAGGGACGTGCCCATTTTATAGACGGGAAGACTGAGTAGGTGCGAGGGTCCTGCTGGGGGGTGCATATGTGTGGCTTCCGACCCACCTGGCACCTCCTGATTTTTTCCCCCCGTGGGGGCGGCTCCCAATGATTGTTGGGTCAGAGGATTAGTCCTGGCCTAGAGCCCTGGTTGGTTCCCAGCCCCCAGCCCAGCACCCTCCCCTCCCCCCGCAGGATCCTGAGCCCATGATGTCCTGGTGCTTCCTCCCCAGCAGGCGCAGGATGAGCGGGAGAGGCCCCCAGGTCCATCTCGGGGTGGGGGTGGGGGGCTGTGCGGTGCTGTGAACCGGTGGGGAGGGGGACACGGGTCTAGCCAGGACCACGGGAGGGCCAGGCAGCGGGTCTCAGTCGGGCGCCTCTTGGCATCCTTCACGGCTTCGCTTTCTTTTTCTGGGGTGGGGGGGTGGTCGGGGCCGGGCGCAACCACTGGGGCTCCGAGCTGGCTCCTGGCTCTGCCCTCGGGGGTCGCCCCTGGTGGGGCTCCCCCGAGGGTGGGCTGCAGGAGAAGGGGGGCCCTGGGCCTGCCCCCATGCCCGCAGCCGGCCTGGCTGACGCGGAACAGACGGGCCGTGTGTGTCTCTGGTTCTTGGTTTCGTGGATCTGGGCGCCCGGACTTTTTAAGATTTAGTGGCAGTCGAGGTCGGATATTTCGGGGTGCTGGAACCTGTGTCTTGGGAGGTGAGACCCCGAGTGGCCCCCCTTGGTCCTGCATGCCTTCTGTCCGCACAGTAGATTGGAGCCCTGTGGTCCCCCGAGCTCCTGGGGCACCGGAGTTGGAGGGGTGCTGGGGTTCGAACCCGAGTCAGCCGCGTGCCAGGTGAGCGCCCTCCGGCTTTGAGACAGCCCCTCGCCTTGGGGAGGCAGGTCTAACCCTCCCCAGGTGCGAGATTGCTGCAGGGTCAGGCCGGGCGGGGTGGGGGGGGCGGGGGAGGGCCCAGGGTGTGGCCCTTCAGATGTCCCAGCTGTGTGTCACACCTGCCCTTTGGAAGGGAGGAAAGCGGAACTGTGGCGTGGAACCTGGAGTGGGGGGTGGGGGGCTTCTCCCCAAAACCTGGCACCACGCCCCAGCCCCAGCGCCTCCTCGGGCAGAAATGAAACCCTGTAGAAGTCACCCTCGTGGACATGCGCCACCTGACCGTTCTCTCTGGGTGCGGGAGAGGGGGCGTTGGTACTAGGCGAGATGGGGGCGGGCCAAGAGGCCCACTGGCGCGGCCTTGCCCAGGGCCAGCCAGGGTTTGCGCCCCAGCCCCCCATGGGGTCCCCGGAGCCCCGCCAGGAGTGATCCCCGAGCACAGAGCCTGGAGTCAGCCCTGAGCACCGCTGACCAAGCCCCCAGGTATCGGCAGGACCAGGTGTGGTTCCGGGAGCGGGACCGACCCGTTTGGAGGTCGACGTCTGGTGCTGGCAGGCAGGGCCGGGCTGGCAGCCCTTCTGTGCCCGTGTCGTGCGGGGGACAGCGCCCTGGAGAGGGAGGACCTGGGCGGCCGGGTGGTATTTCTGGCCCTGGGGGAGGACGGCCGTGGGGTCGAGGGGAGCAGCTTTGAAAGCTGTTGCCTGGAGCTTGTGTGTGCGTGCGTGCATGCGTGCATGTGTGTGTGTGTACATGCGTGTGTGTGTATGTGCATGTGTGTATGTGGGTATATGTGTTAATATGTGTGTGCGGGTGTGTGTGTGTGTGTTTGCGTGTGTGTGTGTGTGTTGTGCAGTGCCTGCTGGCCGATCCCCTGTCATGCTGTCCTATGTGCTGTCTGGTTGGGCCCTGCGGACCAGCCCAAAGACTGGTCCCTTCGGTCCTGAGCCCTGGGGGAGGGGCCCGGGCACCCTCAGCTCCCGGCCTGCCCTTGTCTGGGGCTTGCTCAGTGCTTGGGAGCCTCGTGTCCCCGGCGGGACCCAGCGCGCGTCTGCTCCTGTGGCTTCTATGCGGGTGAATGACCTGGGACCCTTTTTGGGGGACCGCACCTTCCCAGTGATGGGACTCCCAGCCCAGTGCTCCCCTGGCCCAGCATCTGCCCGGAGCAGGCGAGGGGGCGCGTGGGGCCCGCCCCTGGGAAGCCTCAGCGGGGCTCGGCCGCAGGGACCTGCCGCCTTCCCACCTGGTCCAGGGCCACGTCCTGCCTCCAGCTTGAACCTCCCCCGCGCCCACCACGCCCAGCAGCCTCCGCCGGTCCCCAGCCGGGCTGGAACTTTCCTCTGCGGCTTCGTGTCCCTCACGCCACAACGCCTGCGGCTCCACGCAAAATGCCAAACGCTTTTCAACACCCCCCCCCTTTTGTTTCCCTTTTGTTTCTGTGGGTCACACCCGGCAGTGCTCAGAGCTCTGTGCTCTGTGCTCCGGAATCACACCTGGCGGTGCCTGGGGAAGCCGGTGGGGTGCCGGGGATCGAACCCGGGTCGGCCGTGTGCCCGGCGAGCACCCTCTGGCTTTGAGACGCCCCCTCGCCTTGGGGAAGCAGTGAGCGTCCTCGTTGGCTCTCCGCCAGCTCACAGCACCAGGCTCATGGTGCCTCTGACCGACCCGGGTGCCCATGCCCGGCTGACTGTCAGCCGGCCCCAGTGGGTACAGAAACGGCCACACAAAGGCCAGTCTGTGCCCGGACCCGGGGGGAGAGAGAGGAGAGAACTTCAGAGTGCACCGACTTCCTGGGCCCCACTGTGCGGTGCTGGTGCGGGTAGGGGCACTCAGCCTGCCCTCCCTTGCCACGCCCCTCCCTACCCACTGTGCGCTCTCTGGGGCGGGGGCAGAGGGGGGCAGCCCCTGAATGCCCTTCTTTTCTTTTTCCTTTTCGGGTCACGCCCGGCGATGCACAGGGGTTGCGTTTGGCTCTGCACTCAGGACTCACTACTCCTGGCAGTGCTCAGGGGACCACATGGGATGCTGGGAATCGAACCCGGGTCGGCCGCGTGCAAGGCAAACGCCCCACCCGCTGGGCTATCTCTCCGGCCCCCCAGCATGCCCTTCTTAAGGGTCCCACTTGCATTCCAGCCGAGCAGAGAGCTCTGAGCTCCTTCCCAGCCCCGAGTCCTACCCACTTCCAGGCTCTCCTTCCCCTCCCGTGCGGAACCCTGCCCCGGCCCCCAGCCCCCCTCAGCTAGCCCCCGTCGGAGCTCGGCCTGGAGGTGAGGGCCGGATCTCCGTGCAATGTCCAACCTCTCTGTCTCTTCTTCCGCAGGCGAGATGGCTGCTCCAGGGTTCTACCAGGCGGCCGCTGGGCCTTCCGTGATGCCAACCGCACCCCCGTCCTACGAGGAGACGGTGGGCGTGGGGGGCTACTACCCCACGGGGCCTGTCCCTGCACCCGGGCCCACCACGGCGCTGGTGTCTGGCCCTGATGGAAAGGGCACGAATCCCCAGTACTACACCCACTCGATGCCGACCCCCAATCCCAGCGCAAGTACGTGCATCCCGCCCGTAGCCCCTGCCCACATGCTTCTGCACCCTGGGGTGGGGGGACCCAGGAAGGCCGGGGAGTGGCTCCAGCCCCGCCCTGGGTCACTGCCAGCGTTCCCGAGCACGGGGCACCCGTGGGACCAGAAGGCACCGCGTGTGCCAACCTCTTCCACTCGCCAGCCAGCCAGCCAGCTTCTGGCACCCGGCCTGGTGGGGGGGGGGGGCGTTCCAGACTAGGGGTTGGGGGCAGGGCACAGCCGCGATGCTGGGGGCTGTCTCTGCACTCAGGAATCGCTCTTGGCGGGGCTCCGGGGCTCTGGGGGAGGCCGGGGATCAAACCTGCGTTGGCAGACGGCGTCCCTGCTGTGCTAGGGGTTTGGCCCCAGTGTGGGGCTTGTTTTGAGAAGGGGCCTCGGCTCGGAGGCGCTTGGGGACCCCGCTTGGGGCTGGAGATTGAACTGGAATCAGGACTGCAGCCGCATGCAGGGTAAGGTCCGGCCTCTGCGCCCTGCCCGGGAGCACCCCCCTTCCTGCTGAGGTTTCAGGGAGACCCCCGGAGCAGCCCTGAGTGAGGAAGGGTGAGCTCCCTGGGCTGGAGCCATAGCACAGCGGGGAGGGCAGTTTGCCTTGCACATGGCCAGCCCGGGTTCGACTCCCAGCATCCCATAGGGTCCCCTGAGCACTGCCAGGAGTAATTCCTGAGTGCAGAACCAGGAGGAACCCCTGACCATCTCCAGGTGTGACCCAAAAAACAAAAAAAAAAACAAAAAAAAGAAAAAGAAACTTCCACCCCTTCCAGCCACGTCCCCTTTGATCCTCTCCCTTGGCACTGCCTGGCCCCGGCTGTGCCCCGGCAGCCAGTGCCTGCCTGAGTGACCTATCTAGGGCCACCCCGCCCTGCCCCCACCCCCACCCCGACCGGAGGGCTGTTCAGGAAAGGGGCGTGAGAACTCGGTCTAGCCAAGGGTGGTCCCTCTGCTCTGCATCCAGGTTATGCCGGCCCCTTCAGACACAGGAGGACTCACTGGTCACCAGCAGTGGGTCACACGCAGACCCAGAAATAACTTGTTCTCACACCAGTCAGCCCCCAGACCTTCACGTCTGCACGTTGCCGCTAAAGGAACGCGCCTCTTACTCTGTCTTTGGAGGAAACGGGCCTTTGGAAGAAAAAGACCGGGAGGAGAGGGCAGGATGGGGGAGGAGCATGGGGGTCCCGGCCCCGGGCTCCACAGACAGTCCCCCAGTACCGCCTGGTGTGGCCCAACCCACTCACCCTCCTTCCCCCCCCCCCCAAAAAAAAAGAGGAAAAGATTCCTGGCAGCCTGGACCTCCTGAGGCACGGTGGGTAGGGCCTGGCCTTGCCCCAGCCGGCCTGGGTTCGATCCCCTGCACCCGGGTCGCCCCCAGCCCCTCCAGCAGTGATTCCTGAGCATTGGGCCGGGAGTAAAACCAGCATCCGGGGTGTGGTCCCTCCTGGCTCCGTGCTGGGGCTGGGGCTGGGGCCTTGCCCCGCCCCCGCCCCCCACCCTGCGCCCCCTCCAAGGCCGCCCTATCCCCCCCCGCAGTCACCGTGCAGACCGTGTATGTGCCGCAGCCCGTGTCCTTCGTCGACCGCCCCGTCCAGATGTGCTGCCCGTCGTGTAACAAGATGATCGTCACGCAGCTGTCTTACAACGCGGGGGCGCTCACCTGGCTGTCCTGCGGGAGCCTCTGCCTGCTGGGGTGAGTGGACGCCGGGCACACACCCGCACCCCGGGGGTCGGGCCCACGGGTCTGGGACCTCCGGGCTCCAGAGAGTGGGCTCAGAGGTGCGAGGCAAACACCTGATCCTCAGAACCCCGTAGGGTCCCCCGAGCACCGCCAGGAGTAATTCCTGAGTGCAGAGCCAGGAGAGACCCCTGAGCGTCACTGGGTGTCACCAAAATAAGCCCCCCACCCAAAAAAAAATGTCAGGGCCCTCCTGCCCCTCTGCCAGGCTCACCAGGTTGGGCCCCCCTTCTCCCTCCCCTCTTCCCCGAGCTGCCCCCGCCCTCGGGCTGCCCAGGTGTCCTTGGCCTGTGGGCTCAGCGCCCTGGGCCCCCTTGGTTTCCCCGTGTCCCCTTCTCATCTCTGGCGGACACCTCTCCGGGGCTGCCAGGGTCCCAGCATCTTCCTGTTCGGGCCTCCACGGGCGCGTCACGTCTGGGGGCCTGTGGCCCCGGTCTGGGTTGCTCCCATGCGTGATGGGCTCTCGTGGGGCCGTGTTGTCCCCCAGGTGTGTGGCCGGCTGCTGCTTCATCCCCTTCTGCGTGGATGCCCTGCAGGACGTGGACCACCACTGCCCCAACTGCAAAGCCCTCGTGGGCTCCTACAAGCGTTTGTAGGGCTTGGCCTGGCCCACTGCTGAGACCGCCCCCCCCCACTCACGCAGCCCCTCCCTGTGCAGAGGCACCGCCTGGAGGGGAGCTCCTCACTCGAGGTGGGGCCCGGACCCCACTGCCGGGGTCCCCCCAGGACACGCAAAAACTCTCACTTCAGTGTGGTCCCCGGGTTCCCCCCACCCCGGTTTCCCATCCTCTGAGAAGGGCACAGGGTGGGGGGACACCCCTCCCCTCCCCTCCCCTTCGTATCTGTGGGCACCCTGCCGCCAGCTGACTTCCGTCCTGGCCTCGGTGGCACCGATTCTCCTGTACCAGCCGCCCACCCCCGGCGCCTGCGGGACTCAGGACGCGGACACAGCACCCTTGAAGCTCAGTCCCCTCTCGGCAGGCCCCGAGCAGCCAGCCCGGAGCTGCAGACCCTGAATAAACACAGTCCAAGTCCAGCGGCTGGCTCTGTCCTCCCTGCCTGGCTCTGGGCCGGGCCCGCGGCCGCGTTTGCACCAAGGAAGGGGCCCCCCCGTTTCTCACAGCCCTGTGGCTGGCACGACTGTTTCAATGCCCCCTCTTGGCCTTAACCCCCTTGGCACGCGCTTTTCGGAAGAGAGTTAGGTTCTGTCTCGCAACACGAGGACCCCGGCAAGTTCACACCCACCCAAGTCTCAGCCCGCCCAGGGTTCCCTTTCGCTCCTCTGCTTGGGCTGGACGTGATCCTGGCGCTTTTCTGCAGGGAGACTGAAACAGGGCCCCTCGGGGACTGTTTTGAAACGCAAAGGGCAGCAGATTCGAACCCTCCTTCCATGGCACCGGGCAGCCCGGGAAGGTGCCCTCGACGGAGGCCTCTAAGGGCTAGTTCGGGGCTGGAGAGAGTCCACTGGGCTGACCCTAGTCCCCAGCATTCCATAGGTTCCCCTGAGCCCTGCCAGGAGTGATCCCTGAGCACCGCCAGGCCTGGCCCCCAAACCAAAATAAATAATAATAAAAAAAAAAGTTTTTTTTAAAAAAGCATCTGGTTTACTCTTTCAGAACTGCTGGTTTGTGGGAGGGCTTCAGGGGGCTTCGGGGCCGTTTCTGAAAACGAGAGAGCCGGCTTGCCCCTTGCGGCCGGCCGGTGGCAGTGGAGCTCAGCGCCTGGGGGAGTCTGCAGGGTAGAGAGTGGCTGGGGTGGACACAGCTCCCTTGCTGCGTTCCTGGACAGTGCCCATCGTCCTGGGGACGGGCACGGCTCTGCAGCGTACGTGGGGGCACTCCGCTCTTCAGAAATAAAGGCCCTGAGGTCTGGAGCCATAGTCCGGGGTGGTGGGGAAAGGGGTTTGTCTAGCATGCGGTGGAACTGGGCTCAATCCTCTGTGAGCACTGCCAGGAGTCCACAATCCTCTGTGAGCACTGCCAGGAGTCCACAGACATCCCCTGTGGTCCCCTGCAGAGCCAGGAGGAAGCCCAGATGATAAGCCTTTAACCAAAGGCTTATTAACCAACTTGATGGATCCAGTTTTTTTTTTTCCTTTTTGGGTCACACCCAGAGATGCTCAGCGGTCACTTCTGGCTCTGCACTCAGGAATTACTCCCACGGTGTGCAAATGCCCTCCCCACTGTGCTATTGCTCCAGCCCCCATGGATCTATTCTTTTTTGCTTTGTCTTTTTTTTTTTTTGGGGGGGGGACACCCAGCAGTTCTCAGGACTCACTCCTGACAGACTCCGGGGACGCTATGGGATGTCAGGGCTCGAACCTGGGTCGGCCCTGTGCACAGCAGACGCCCCCCCCCCGCCCCCCCCCCCGCCGTGCCGTGGCTCAGCCCTGTTGAGATGGGACTCGGCCTGAGGAACCAGACAGACCTGCCTCTGCCCTGGCCGTGGAAAACCCCGCGTGCCGGGCGCTGGCGACTACAGCTGCCCACGGTGGCGGAGTGGACCCTGCCCAGCCACTGGCCGGCTTGGGACCCAGTTGCAGCAGTGAGGCTGTTTGGACACAGGTGGGCATCTCCTGGCAGCCGGGCACCACAGCTGTGTGTTAATCACGTGCGGAGCAGGAAGTGGCCTCCCTCCTGCCCCCAAAACAGATTTTGGGGGCTGGAGCGATAGCACAGCGGGGAGGACGTTTGCCTTGCACATGGCCGACCTGGGTCCAATCCCCAGCATCCCACAGGGTCCCCCGAGCACTGCCAGGAGTGATTCCTGAGTGCATGAGCCAGGAGTAACCCCTGTGCATCGCCCGGTGTGACCCAAAAAGGAAAAAAAAAAACAGGTTTTGTTGACTGCAGGGGCCCGGGAGGCTGCTGGGCGCTGGCGCTGGGTGGGCCAGGAGTCGGAATACCACGTCCCCTTCTACTAGGGTCCCTGTGGGGCCTGAGGGGAGTGTCCTCAGTCTCCTGGGGACCCCCATGCATCTGTGGCAGCTTGGCTCAGCGGGCGGCCAAGAAAGGGGCTCGGGCTGGTTCAGTTACATACACAGAGCCCCCCCCCCAGACCTGGATTTTGGGGGCTGCCGGTCAACCAGTATTCTGGAAGTTTCCGCGCTAATGTCGGAGGCCTGAAGTAGGAAGGGTTGGGTCGTGGTCTGTGTGAGCAGAGCCTCCTGGGTTGGCTTCCAGGCATGAAAAGACGCTTTTGTTCCGTCTGTTGGTCGGGGCCTCCAGAGCCTCTTTGTTCCAAACACTCGCGGCCGGTCCACCCTGAGGGGGCCCTGACCCTCCTTGGACCCCAGAGGAATTTTATTCATTCACACCCCCCTTGTCTTCCACCCCATGCGTCCATCCGTCCGTCCGTCCGTCCGCCCGTCCGTCCGGGCCTTGTCCCGCCTGAGTGGCTCTTTGAGCTTCGCTGAGGAAAGTGTTGCATTAATTGCATCCACGGAAGTCAAGGCCGACACGGACGGGCGCATAAATGTGGCAGCACATGAGGAAAGGGCCGGGTGAGAAGCCCTGAGACCCCCAGTCGTGGATCCCCGTGGATCCCCGGAGTCGTGATCGGAGATCGGAGATCGGAGATCGGTCACCACCTCCTGGCCTCCCAGGCCCGCCGTTCAGGTGCTTCCTTCCCACGCACAGACCTTGGAATTTTACTGACAAAATCCTGATTTGCATCTGGGCCCCGGCCAGACTCCCGTGTTTACAATGAGCTGTCTGTGTTTTCACGGGCTCCTTTAGCTGACCCAGCCCGGGAGGGCGGGCGGAAAGAAACCAGGAGGCCTTTGTTTTAAGTCTTAAGAATTTTAGAAACAGCAGATGGGGGGCGGGCAGGGGGTGGGTGGGGGCTGGCTCAGAGGGCCGGAGCCACACAGGTTCGATCCCTGGCACCCCAGGCTTGGGAAACACCCCCACAAAAAGGGAAAACTTGATTCTTTTTTGTCTTTTTTTTTGGGGGGGGGGTCTCACCCGGCGATGCTCAGGGGTTACTCCTGGCTCTGTGCTCAGGAATTTCTCCTGGCGGTGTTCAGGGGACCCTATGCGATGCCGGGAATCGAACCCGGGTCGGCCGTGTGCAAGACAAATGCCCTCCCTCCGGCACTGAAAACTTGAGTTCTCTCCTTGGGGTGCTCAGGATCTTACATGTGCTCTACAGCTGAGCCCCGCCCCCCAAGGCATCTCCGTGGAGTGTTTCTGTGGGGGGGCACCCCCAGGTGCAGGCTTGGTGTGCCGGCGGCGGCGGCGCCTGTGCCCCAGGACCACCCGAGCCAGCCCACCAGGAGCAAGTGGCGCTGGTGCATCTGGACTGTTTGGCCTTTGGGCCCAGCAGGGCAGCGGCGACTGTGCCCCTCCACCCCATGGTGCTTGGTGGTCTCCAAGGCCGTACTCAGAGGTATTTGTGGGGCCGCGAGGTGCTGGCCAGGCGTTTGGGGGCCTCGGGGAGTTTGGGCCACAGCTGGTGGTGCTCAGGGGTTCCAGCCACAGCCAAACGCCCCTCCCCAGAAAAGGCCTCTGAAGGCGCAGTGACCAGAGAGGAACGCAGAGCCGGCCAACCTCACCACACCCGAAGCGTTCCTGGTCGCAGGCGCCTGGGTTTGTGTTTTCCGGGTGCTGGGAGGGAAAGGTCGAAGATGCCCTAGGGCGAAGCCTCTGGAACCTTCCCCAGGCTCCAGGTAAGACCTACCTGCTTTGGGTCACCGGCCTTGTTAGAGCTGATCCCCAGACCCTGCAGGACATTCATGGTTTTGGCTTTGGGGCCCCACCGGCGATGTTCAGGGGTCCCTCCTGGCTCTGCACTCAGGAATCACTCCTGGAGATGCTCGGGGATGCCGGCGATCGAACCCGGGTTGGCCGCGTGCAAGGCAAACGCCCTCCCCGCTGTGCCATCACTCCAGCCCCACGTTCTCTTATTTTTATTTCAGTTTTGGGTCATGCCCAGCAGTGCTCAGAGGCTACTCCTGGCTCAGTGCTCGGTCACTTGCTGCGGGTTTTGGGTCATGCCCAGCAGTGCTCAGAGGCTACTCCTGGCTCAGTGCTCGGTCACCTGCTGCGGGTGCTCTGGGGGCCGAATGTGGTGCTGGGGTTGTCACATCCCCCCATACCATCTCTCCGGCCCCCTGCTCCTTTGCATGATCCCTGTGTCCCCCACGAGGCTATCCCCCCTTATGGACACTTGTCCCCGGCTGGCCTTGCAGCTATCCCGCCGCCCAACGTGCCCAGGGTGCCACAGCTGTGCCCCTTTTGCCCTGGGGAGTCTCTCAGAGCTCCCCAGGAATGCAACGGTTTGGGAGCTCAGTGCCAGAGCCCCTGTGTCCCCCCCCAGGCTGGCACTCGTGGCCGGAACACCCAGGTCATGGTTGACGGGCCCTTGGGGGTCTCCACGGGACTCACACGTGTCTCTCCGGCTGGTCACATCCCTTTGAGGTGACCCACCCGGCTGTAGTGTGGCTGGAAGTCCCCATGGCTCTGGGCATGGCAGTGAGCAGTGGCCGTGGGTGGGGTCAGACCCCAGTGAGCAGGACGGTCCCGCTCTGGCCCCGTGTCCCGTGCTTGAAAGTGACAGTCGGCGAACCGAAGCATAAGCCCGCGGGCGCTGGCAGGCCTGGGCTCCGTCCTGGCATCTCATAGGGTCCCCGAGTACGGAGCCAGGAGTCAGCCCTGAATGCCACCCGGTGTGGCCCCCAAACAAAGTAAACCAAGTATCAAATAACTGACAACTCCCCCCCACACACACACCCCAAAAATATGTGTCATTCCAACAGCAGGTTAAACAACAGTGACAGTGGGTCGGACCAAGCTGGCCCCCGGCTGTCCCACAGTGGGATGTCCGGGTTCACGCTGGGGCCACGTGAGCCGGTGCTGGGGGACCGTGGAGGGGTGCTGAGGGTCGGCGTCAGTGCTGGTGCCTGCCTAGTCGGTGCGCAGCAGACCAGAAACGGATCGCAGAGAAACGGTTGTACTGCAGGGCTGCTGGAGAGAGTGGCCTGACGGAGAGTGACACCCCAGGGACCCGCATGCTGCTTCATGCCTCCCCGGGCTGTGACCTCCCCACCCTAGAGCACGGGGCCTCAGGGGTTACTCCTGGCTCATGCACTCAGGAATTACTCCTGACGGTGCTCAGGGGGACCATATGGGATGCTGGGGATCGAACCCGGCTCGGCCGTGGCCTTACCTGCTGTACTGTCACGTCTTTTTTTCTGTTTGTTTTTTTTGCTTTTTGTTCGAGGTCCTTTTCAGTTCTCTTGAGGTCACCCCTCCCGGCGTGGGCACCCACAGGTGGGTCTTTCCCGCTTACTGCTTAAGCTGCTTAGTCGTGGAGGGAGGGATGGACGAACAGATGGACATTCGCATGGCTTCCAGACAAAGCTGCTCTGACTATGGACGCCAGGGACTTGGGGTGTGTTTGCTTTTCCCGTGCACGGTGCTCTGGGGGCCCTGGCCGTGGGCGGGCATGAGCGGCTTGACAGGCTCTCAGTG